TGAAAAAGAGCAACAGACCGCACCGCATTTTCTTGTTAGTAACAGTAACGGCGTTGTAACTAATAGTAATTAGTTAGATTACTCGTTACAAAGTAACGCTGTTACTTTTAATGCTGTTATTCCCGTCACTGCCGATGGCAGTTTTAAGAATGCAGCTATGCACAGCTTAAATAAAATAAAAAGGCACATTCTGACTCGTCAGGTTGTTCCATCATGTGGAAATCACCTTTGCATAATTTTAAAGTTACAGATTATTATAAATTCAACATGAACTCACAAACTTTGCAGATGTCTTAACTTCAGTTTTGGTAACATACTCTGAACTGCATAAAAATGGGAAAATACATTTAGTACAAAGCACATCAGTGTTGTTCAGACAAGCAGAGATGGGAGGAGAAGGCTCATATTTCAACATCATTAAGAGGCAACAATAGTTTCAGTGCAGTAGAAACGATGCACTGCAGCTGAATAACAGCAAAGCGTTTACTGTGAGGAAGCCAGTTCCTGCAGTTTCCCATAAACTTTGTGTGCTTTATTCCCTACATTCAGGTTGAGGGTCAGATAATGATGGTGGTGTTTTTAATTGGACAGTCCCAAGAAAAGATATAGGGAAATATTACAAAATAGATATGAGTTGTTAATAACTTCTTAAGTACACAGACTACAACATAGTCTGTGGAGGCAGCAAGCGCTGTTTGTATAGTCCTCATTAAGACTGGGTTGGATGCTAATGACGTGTTAATAATCTACCTGTTTTGGTGATAAGTGGGCCAGAATAAAGACACCAGAGAACTGCAAAACAACTTCAGTGATCAAAAAAGAAAGCATGAAAAGCACAGACAGTGGCTGCAGTGACACTTTTCACTGTCTTTGCTCTTCTTCGCAGCTCACAGACCAACAACAACAACACCACACCAGGTGTAGCACATACTTCATCTGACAGCAGAGCTCACTGCAGGCAGACGGACTGGCTCTGCAGTAGTGCAGACGTTGAACACGCTCGCTCTGTTCGAGCATAAATTCTGCACGACTGTGATCATTGTGGCTGTTAATTTATTTGGAAAGAGTAAATGTGAGGATTACTAATAGTGCCGAAGCTCCGGGTCTCGTAAAGCAACAATGCACCACATATTTCCAGCAGAAACACACATTCACGTGTGTGTAGCTCAGGTCAAAATACTGACTTGCAGAACATATTTCAGGCAGAAATATATGGTTAAATCCCTGCATGTCAACTATCCTTGGACAGGACGCTAAGCCCAAGTTGCTCTATGAATTTGCATAATCAGTAGATAGAAAGAAGAAAGTGTTTGTGTGAATGAGGCATGTTGTATAAAGCGCCTTAAGGGCTTTCTGCCTGCCTATTTGTGTTACAGTAATTGCTGGATTTTGCAGGAAACAACACTTCATTAATGTATAAATTGAGATTTTGCATTTTATAACAGAACATTAGCAGAGCGGTAAGTAACTG